AAATGACCAACTGCGAATTCTTACAATACTTTACAGCTACATGCCATCAGCTGAAACTCAGTGAGTGACCCATGCATGGGTCTCTCAAGCTCAATGCAGTTATGGGAACACAGGAGTAAGCTGATGTGTGCAGCAGGATTCATGGAAACCCATTCTACTTTACACTGGAAGGTGCAGCATGTACTCAGTTGCACTTTTTCTCAGTGGAGATAAGATACCTAGCAGCTCAGAGGCAGCAACTTCTAGCCACTCAACTATGACTGTAATAATTTCTGTTACTGTTCTTCTCATTATATAGACAAATGATTCCCAGCAAATGTACCTGAAGGGTTTTTGGATTACAAATCATTGATTAATTATTTTAGGTCACATCATGTCTTCAGAAAGAAACCACAACAAAGCAGTAAAACTTTGCATGTTCTCATCGTGGCAATTAGGATATGAGGAATAGAGATTCTCTTAAACTGATGCATAGAGGTCTTTGAATGCTCCTGCTAAGAGTTTTCAACCTTTCTGTAGTCTAGATCAAGTGATTATGCATATGTCATTCAACCTGGAACTTCCACAGACACATACAGTCTCTGCAGCACTGTTTTACCAAAAGATCTATCTTTTGATTAAAAACCCGTTAAAATTTGGCTGGCTGTTATTACGTCACTACTTCCCACTTGGTGAAATATGGCATCAAAATTAGTACAGGCGAACATGACAACTGTTATCATGAAATCTAACTGCTCCATACACCACCACAACCCTGCCTCCTGCAGAAATAATCACGGTATCATTTCCCCTAATGGTTAATATAATTTGTTCCAGGCCCTGTAATGATGGTGCATTTCCTTGTGCTGTTCTCTACAACCAGAAGGGCTTTTTTCCTTCCACTGAAGCACAAGAGTACAGACTCCACAACCATTGAGAGCACAGAGTTACAAGAAATGTGAACATAGAGCAAACACAAGAATAAAATCCTATTTTGAGAGAAGGCATGTTTTTCCCCACAACATGTATTAATGAGTTTTATCAAGGTTGCTTCTCTTTCTGGGGCCCTCTGTTTACCTATCCTGGAGTGAATGTAATATGCTGTCTTCCAGCAGGCTAAGGAACTTAACATGAGCTCTTTCTCACCTTTGAGAGTATGTAAGGCTAACAATCTTTTTCATGAAAACTGGAGAAGTAACTCAAAGACAGAACAGACTGAAGGAATAAAAAGCTTCTCACAGAATTGTTAGCTGGTGAAGAGGATTACAGGGTCTCTGCTGGAGCAGATTTTTAAAATGCAGCTGAGACATGAAGTCCAGCAGCAAAATAAAGAATTAAAAAGAAACAACTCCAGCTGTTTCATTACTGAGCTCACATTAACCAGAACCAGTGACTTAAGCAATTCTATCAACTCTGACACTGAAGTCAGAGGTGCCCAAGGCTCAGACTTGGAGGCAAAATCCTGTGGCTCACTAAGCTTTCTTGTCCCATCATGTCAGGGTTCCTGGTGCTGGGCCTAAATGCTGATCAAACCATCAGGTGAGAATAGTAATTCATATCAAAGCAAACACAGAGGCAAATCTCACTATGCTTCCCTATATCCTCATGACTGTAGCAAAAGCTATACTCTAGCACTTCCCTACCTCCATAAGCCATAAACCAAGAAGAGAACTGCATTAGAGAACCACTGAATGGGTAAGGCTGGAAGGATCACCTGGTCCAACCTCCTTGCTCAAGCAGGGTCAATCCTAGAGCACATGGCACAGGACTGCATCCAGATGCTTCTTGAATATGTCCAGTGAGGGAGACTCCATAATATCTCAGGGCAATTTGTTCCAGTGCATGCTCACTCACACAGTAAAGAAGTTCTCCCTCAAGTTCAGGTAGAACTTTCTGTGAATCAGTTTCTTTCCATTGCCTCTTGTCCTGTTATTTGGCACCACCAAGAAGAGCCTGGATCCATCCTCTTGGTACTCTCCCTTCAGATATTTATATATACTGATATGGTCCCCTCGTTGCCTTTACATGAATGTGCTTTAATTTTTAGGGTCCACACCTGCACACTAGTCTCAGCTCGGAAATTTACTCTTCACTATGCATAGATATGGCCTAATCATTGGAATTCACCTTCCAAACAATCTGGAAATACCATCTGTGTTATTTGAACTCATCCCCTTTTTGTGTATTCAAAATTTACTAAGTTTCACAGGATCCTTATAAGGGGTCATAATCAAAAGACCTTTCTTACACCATGCCAGAAGGTTCTTGAGTTTCAACATGCTAGTAACCTCCATACAGATTATACCATAATGGTAAAAAAATAAAGGAGGTTTAGTAACTATTCTCAAATACTTGGATCTCAGAAAATCAGAGTGAATTCATATTAAAATTATATCCATTTATGAACTGTCCTATTCAAAAATGTATTGTAACTAATTAGCTCCTCTTTCAATCAAAATTGTGTAAACCAGACTGCAATCAGTTTACAGAGAATTCAGCTAAAATACTAAAGGCTTAAAACATGCCAAACTGTTATGATATTTTCCAATGCATTTAAATTCCTATCATTCTGAGGACATGAAGTATTAGCTTTAAAACTACACGGAGGAAGTGTTTCAGAAACTTGTTTAACAGCTCCTTGATTCATAAGCTCAAGGTTCCTGCAAAACAGGTATGTTTATGCTTCACAGAATATACTTTATTTTTAATTAAGTCACCTGTGGGTCCAACCCTAAGCATTAAGTATACACATAAATCAGTAAATAAACAAACCTAAACCAACCAACAGCCTCTGATCTCTGGGGGCTCCTCAGTTCACTTGATAATTCCTTCAGTGTTTTCACTCCATTTGGCACCAGGACTGAAAAAAGGAGATTTGAAGGGAGAGAAGTAATAAACTACAGAACTGATCTTACTGAGGTGAGGAGAAGGTCAATCCATTATATTCCCCTTAGGAGGATCTCAAAATATTAAGAAAAAAAGGTTGCAGAATAAAAATAAAGCCCCAAATTTTAAAAAAAGGTAAACTGAGGCTGGAAGAATAAAACAGTTTAACCATAATATGTCAACGGATCAAGGACAAAGCATGGAAGAGAAGCTGAAGATTCTAGCTTCAAACCTCCTGCTCCTAAACTAAAGTAGGAAAATCCTGTGGGTGTAAGATATTATGGTAGCTCAGTGCTCTCCAGTCTGCATAGCACAAAAGCCTACTTCTGCTCAACAACTTAAAAGAATTCAAGATCAGAGCAACAAAGATGAAAAGGTCAGACTAAACTCATAGCTCACACTGCACTAAAAATATACAATGCTATGACAAACCACTTGATGAACACAAATGGCAGAAGACTGAACACTGGCCTCCCCAGATCTAGTGCAAGTTTAGAGACAATTTTAAACACAAAATAATTCTGAATTTTTCAAGCAAAGATTTGAAAGTACTAGCTGAGACTGAAGAAGCCCAAGACAGCATTCTTTTTTTTCGCTTTGACACGTTGTGCAGGGTAGGAGGAGGATACTGTTCTTGTTCATACCAACACACCCCTGAACTTTTTCCAAGAAATATGAAGTTTGGCTTTGATGTTTGTGAGAGGAAGTTCGAGTTTGCAGCTGGCAAATACATTAATAGCATAGGCACTGGTAAACTAGAAGGGACCTCCAGTAGGTTATCTTGTCCTATCTCTTTGCAGCACACAAATGAAAGCCAAATTTCCCTGTCTACCTAGTGCTGAAATACACAGGCTTAGAAATAGCTTCTAAAGACTTTTTATATTAGGTAAAATTTAGTCATGTGAATTTCACAAAAATAGCAAAAATAGTGCAGTCACAGACACAGATAACTTGTTTAAAAAAACCCTTTAACAGTCCTTTAACCCTTTAAAATATTACTAGTGTTCATGAAGCCTAATGCAGCTTGAATCCCCCCCTTTTTTTAAAAAATAAGGTATTATTTTAATTGGGCAAGAGCTATTTTTCATATGGAAATGATAAAGCATTAGTTCTTAGGGTTCTCCTGGGCTTGTCTGACCAGCCTCGCAATGTGAAATAACTTTAGGCTTCTCCAAGTTGCCTTTGACTGGAAGAACTAAACAGAGGCTATTCCTCAAAGCAAGGATGGAAGTGAAACAGCCATGTCCACCATCATCCTCCAGACTATCCCCTCTGATGACACAGTTTAAGAGATGGCTAAGTAAAAATTGTGAGTTTTTACAAGTAAAAACTGAGTTTGGTTCCTAGGGAAGAAGGGACAGCATTGCATGTCTGAGGATTTTAGAGCTAGAGGAAAATATTATTAGTCCCTAACTCCTTCAGTTGATAATCTGACAAGAAGGGAAGGCCAAATGAATGCAAGGACTCAGAGTATAAGTAGAGAAATTTTGGTATTTTATTCATCACTTTAATCTGTGGCAAACTATGCATTTTTTTGTCATCTGGAAGCAGAATTATGCACAGATCTGGGAATTTAGCTGGACATAACCATTTCCTACAAGAAATACCAACAAACAGTTCATTAATTCTTACATTGCTACATAAGTGGTGGGGTTTTACAGCCAGCACTGCTTTTATAAATCCATTAATATTCTCATAAAAATCTAACGTATTTTTAGGACACAAGTTTTCATGCACTAGATTACAACTTTACAGAAGACAAGCTCTGAGCCTGAAACAGCTTGACAATGTCCTTTCAGCTTGTTCATCAGATTAACTTTCTGTCACACATCAGATGAACAGCTTCCTTGGTTTCTTGCCTAATCTCACACACAACCCAAGCAATTCTCTTCTCAAGCACAATCAGAAGCCAAACCAAAGGACACTATAACATTTTACTTCTTTCTAATAGCCCATTTAATTTGAAACTCTCCTTTCTGCCTCTATCTAAGAAAGATTACCCTTTTAGCAAACCATTTATAGTGAAGGGACTCTGATTTCAGATAGGATTAAAACAACATATTAGACATATACAAACCAAGCAGTCTGAGTTGCTTACAGAACTAATAATGTGTTATGGGTCCTTTCACATCTAGGTCACTGGTTCAAATTCAGCTTTAGTTGGTGATGAGTGACAAGGAACAATGAGGTAAGAACCGAGTCACAAATCTGGCCTCTTATCCCTGACTCTGCAACATATACTCTTTGTGCACTTGGGCTACTCACCTAACTACTCTTTCACATAAATTCTACAACTGCAAAGTAAGTGTTGTTGCTATCATACTAACTCTAGAAGACTAATTAATTTAGGAGTCTGAAAGTACAAAATATTATTAGACGTTTATTGCTGCCTTCAGGCTGTTCAAGAGCTAACATCCAAATACATTAAGGGGGAACTTTCTCAGGACAGGTCAACACTGTGATGTTAAAAGAGCTCACCAAAACACACTGGCCACACCTGTGTCTTTTGATGGAAAGATAAGCATGGAAATCAGATGTTGAATGAGCCTGAAATTCCACATTTCCTCAGAGACAGACAGCAGGGGTTAAAAGCAATGAAAAATGGAAATCCAGAAGCAGCCATTTTACAAATAAGAAAGACATAGGGAGAAAAGCATGTAGTGTGGAGATGTACTGTGTTCTTCCATTACACAACACAGTAAGTGCTATATCAATGTTAGTCAAGAAAGGAGGGAAGGGAGAAAAGGAAAGTAGTTTATCAGCCCTACATCCTTTGATAAAACTTGAATTTCCAAAGGAGCCTGCACTGCTGATGTCTGTACTGTACTTTTCCTGTGGCAAAACAAACATTTCCATTTTCAACAAGTGTGATGCTGGCACATTTTACTACTTCAGGTCCTTAATTAAAAACAAGCAATAAAGGAAGGAAACACAGAGCACCAATACATTTTAACTAATTATTAAGTTAAAAGCTGAAAAGGAGTGGTGGTAATTTAGGCACAACATGATAGATTCATTAATAACCTGTAACTGCTAGAAAAATCATTATGCCATCTCTTGTGTAGCCCTGATTCTAGAATAGTCTTGAACTACAGCTCATACACAGCACTGAGAATCTTCCATATGTGCTGGGAAATTTAGAAGCATTTCAACTATTTGATGTGTTTTTCTTAAGTATCTTCAAATATTTTAACCACAGGACAAAAATATGTTTTACTGAAAACATATTTTGTTATTACTCCCACTTCAGAGTCAGCTGTGCCTTTCTTTCCAGAGGAAGCTCATCCACAGCAATTCTAAAGGACAAAGAGAAGCTCAAATACTTTGATCAAGACAATTTAATAAGACAATGCACAACAATTCTGTGCCAAGAAGGAAATTATATAAAGGTGAAAAATTATGCCTTTATCTTCCAAATTTAGTTACCAAATTTCAAATCTTTCTGTCACAAGGAGGAAGCAGTATTCAAGCCATGTACTTCAGAGATACTTTGGCAATGGGTGGAGCCAATAAAAGCCACAAACACGATTCCAAAATTATTTAATGGGCCATGCTTTGCCAGACTTCTATTGACAAAATAAGAAGTAAACATATCAATCAGTGTTAAGGCATTGCACTGAAGTTACTTGCTACTCCCTGACATTCTGTTTGAATCTGCCTTCAACCTCTTTCTCTTGTCCACTGAAATGAGTTGCAGAAATAATGTCAATTTTAACCACTGCTTAGTTCTTTTTGCCACCGAGCTGTAGTTGTGTTAAGTCAGAAAAGCTTGAGACAACTGTGTGTGGTGAACCAGAACAGAGAGAAGCTGATGAGAACCACCAGAAAGTGCAGCAAGGAGACAAAGAGTGGAAATGTCCGTGTTACGCAAAGTGAAAATTCTACATGCAATTGTCATGCCTTTGCAAGAAAGATGAGCATTGTTTTGCATCATACATTTAGCTCTATGCATGAACTGAACACTAAATAATAAAGTTTTCTGCATCTGTCCCTCATGAGGGTACTCTGACTATTCTTTGCAAGTGGGAGAAACCTGAATTATTATATTACTTTGTAAACCTTGGTTCAAAATTATCTTTTCTTCTTAGCAGACTAAGTCCTCACTCTTACTCAAAAAAGTGCTTTTCTCTAGCTCTGTGCAGAAAACAGAAGCACAAAGATGTAAAGAAATATATGGTATCACAAAAATTCCCATATTACATTCACACAAGAGAGAGATTGCAGTCTGAGGCACTGTACTTGAAAACCAAACAAGTGTAATGCAAGGAACAGGACTGAGGATCTGCATTCCTTCCTTTGTGACCAGTTGTTTCTCTTTGTAATCACTGATAAACATTAGATAAGATGAAATTTGCAGACTAGCCTGTGTATTTACTCTTGCAGCAGCTTTAGAAGACTGACAAAATAATGCTTTAAGTGTACGTGAGTGACAGTACAATGCTGAGAGGCTGATATGACTCAAATATTCATTCCCAGCCTTTAGAAAGTGTCTGATCCTTTTAGCTACTCCACATACTTTCTTTTTAATTATAAATGGATTTTCAGAGAAACTGGAAAATAATTTTGTTTCAAGACTGTGTTAGGTTAGACTTGATAATTTGACTCTCTCAGCCCCCCGTATTTCAACAGAAGACTGCAAGTTACAGTGTGGATTTGCGTCCGTGTAGAGTTGCAGCTCTGCCAGAAGGGATTTCTTACCTTCAGACAGGGACAAATCATCAGCTGGAGACACCAGGTCTGCCCGGATCCCAGGGCCACTGCTCAGAGATGTGGTAATCTGATTCGTCAAGATAACCTGCAAACAGACAAGGAGAGGGGGATGGGAATGAATTTTTATAGCCACTGGAAGGCAGAGAGAAGCCCAGGACTGGAATCCTCCAGGTATAGCATCAAGATGACCCTCTATTCTGATCTTCAGCAAATTCAACACCCAGAACATTTTGAGCTACCTGCAGAAAGTGAAAGAGACAATTGCAAGAAGTGGAGGAAAAGAGATATTGTTAAAAAGATGAAATATTGAACAACAAACAGTGTGTTGATACATACAGGCATCTTAAATAAAACTACTGCTCTGAAGAGCTTCATCTTTTGCTTGTCTTCCATGAACAGCTTGATGCTCCTTACAAAAACCCATCATTTTCTTCATAGGCAAACAGGAAATCTATCTTCCAAGTAATTTCCACACAATTTACACACTTTCTTCCTTTGGCTAAAACACAGTGCCATGGAGCAAGGCGTGGTAGGGGTACGAACCCACTGACCTGAAGAACAAAAGTACTAAATGCTACAGGGCTATCTTTACAAAAGGGGATTTTTGAGTGTTTTTCAGGATCACAATATTCTGATAAACAAGATTGTGGTACCCACAGTGTTCTCCTCTGACAGCATGAGCCATATTCATGCTTACGAGAGATGAACAATTTCTTGCACCTTTGAACACATACTGTTTTATAGTAACAGAAAACATTAAGCAGACACTGCAAACACCACAGAGAGAAGAACACAGCTACAGCTGCAGTTATCTCATAATGCTTTGGATCTCTAAGCAGCTGCACTTTTTGCAATAACAGTTGGTTTCCACTTTGCTGACTGACATAAGCTTCAAAAATTACTTTTTTTTTTTTTTTAAGAACCAAAATTATTCTTCTGCTTGCACCGAGAACAAACTCCAAACATTCTTCCAAATTCATAGGCTGTCTTCAGCTGCATTTGACACAGGAGAAAGGGAGAAAGGAATCCTACACAATATTTGGCAAATGCAGTTTCATGATGCTACTGGAATAAATTACTGGAATAAACAGATTGCCATTGCTAAAAAGGAAGAGGAATTTCTCTGCTCTTCCCTCCACTGTTTGTCCCTCCCTCTGATCATGGCTTCCTCCTGCTTTCTAACACTTCCAGCAGGAAGACTTGACACATTCTCTCCTTTCCTTTCCCATTGTGAGACCTCACATAAGCTGTGTCAGATCAACGAGTTGTAACCAGAGTGGTGGAGCTGTAGGGTATTGTGTTCTTCTTCAGGCAGCATGACATCAGGTGCCAGCAGTGTGATGGAGTCTGTGACCTTTACAAGACTCTTCCTCCCTGCTCATGCCAGCCCACCCATCTCTGTGCTTGCAAACAGGCATGATGGTGCCTGAGAACTTTATGGACTGTATCAATAGGACTAAACTGAGAAGTGTGTAAGTCAAATCTTGGCTTACTCAGCAGGTGTTCAAGACCTTCATAACTCCATAGTGATGCCCCTCATGCTCATCTGCTATTGACTCCAAGCTCTGAACAAACTTGAGCTTGCTGTGATTGTTCTGCACAGCTTAGCCACAGGATGAACCTTTTGGGACTGGGCATTTATGATCACTGCAGTGAACATGGACATGGTAGATAACAGCCTTGCTTGGTCATATACCTCAGCTAAAGTACAGCTTGCAATACTGCTAACAGCAAACACACAAAAAACACATTACACCCCTCTGCTGTTTCCCCCAGAGCTGCTGTGTGCACCTATAAGCACTCAAAAGCAGACAGCAAAAGGTCTAGTACACACAACTCCTTGCCACCACTGATGGCTGACTTGTTCATAAGATTACAAGGTAAAATAATTCAAGTTATTAACAAAGGAAAAAAAAAGTCATTTTTCCCTGTTTTCTTGCTAGGATACTTATCTTCCATTTTAGTGAGCTAGTTCATCCTTGTGATAGGATGGGCATCAAAAGTGGTTCAAGGCAAATAAAATGAGTAGGCATCCAAGAGTCAGTAGTGATAAGGAATGGTTTCCTTCTTTAAACCATTCTCACTTTGTTTCCACTTTGTCACAAAAGCCATAGGCTCACATATCCATAGTATCCAGTACTAGAAAATGTGCTGAAACAGAACACACTAAAAAAATTATATTCACACATACTGGTGAGGTATGAAGTTTTCATTGGCACACTTTGCAATGATCACATTATTAACAAGTATCAAACTCTCTAAGTGATTCAGTCACCCCAGACTTGTGCCAAGATAATCTTTGTGCTGTGCTGTCACGTATTTTATTATTTATGCACCACATTTTAAAGTAATGTTACCATGCTTAAGGAACATTTTTAATAGAAAAAAATACCAACACATACTATATTTCATATTGCTTTCCTTCAAAGGAAACTAAATTTGAAGGCTTAAAAAAAAAAAATCAAAAGAAAAATGAACAAGAAGAATAATGCAGCTGCTTTTTTTTTTAAATCTTTCAGATTCCTCCATAAACAGGAACTCCACAGCACTGTTTACTATAGGACTGAAAATCTTCTTCACCTCTTATGTTTAATTCAAGCTGTGCCTCTGAACCTACATTTCAATTCCTGATGTATCCTTCAGTAACTATTCAATACTAACACCCTAGATTCCCTACTACACTGTTTAAAAAAATCAACTGAAAAAAGGAGAGTCCTACCCAAGTAAATGTTCCTCTCTGACTTGCTCTGAGGATGGGAATTAAGCATATTCAGAGTTCCATGACTTCACTAACAGTTCCACATTTGCTTAAATACATATCTAAAGACTATCTTGCATAAGCAAACTTCCTCTGAGATGAAGCCACATGCATATACAGAATGCTTATTTTGGAATTAATTGAAAATTATTCCCCATTTCTACAAGCCTGAAGAACCAACACAGATGCAGTTCTCCCATGAGTTCAGCCACAAGACAAGGCTGTTAGCCAAGCACTAAATTTGGCATCAAATCCCCTGTCACACTTCTGCACCCTCACCTACTGCAAAATTCTTTCATCAGGTATAGGTATTCCTACTATCACATATACACACACACACATATATGTATGTATCTTCACGAATCTTTGTGCAGCTCCCCTAACACAGTTTGAGCCTCACTCTGAGAGTATGCAGAGTACTCCAAACTCTCACTAGCTCAAACAAGCTGTGGGTCACTCACGAAAGAAAAGAGCTGGTCCTTTGCTACAGTTACAGGAAAAAAAGGCACCCAGATTCAGCAGACTCCTCTGAACAGATACATCTATCTTCAGAACTTCAAACATATGCCCTTACTGGAAAGTGCCAAGTTTTATTTTTCCACGAGTAAAGCTTTGGTCACGAATACTTTGGCAGTGAAAAGTGCCATTTAAAGGAGACCATGCATTTTCAGCAGTCACCAGTCCTTACAGGCATTCAACTCGAAACCCTGAATACTGGTATCACATGACTCCAGTGGTACATTTAAAGGATTTATTAAGTTTCCTTCATGAATCTGAAAGACATGCTTACATTCCATTCTGCTATCTTTTGAAATGGATTGACATATTCAGAGAGCTGCAAATAGGTGTTCGAGGGAATGGTTAAACTTGTGTGTGACATGGAGAGAACACACAGGCAGACAATGCCAGCTCTGTGACTTTCTGGTGAGGAATCACATTTGTGCATGGACAGCATCAGCTGAGTCTCACACACTGCTTCATACATGTGTGCACAGAATATAATGCTGTTTTTGATGTTAATTATATTAATTAGTTATGGTTTCTTACAAACCACCAAAAAGAAGGTTTGGGTTGGTCTGGTAGGTGCCACCCTTGAAAGAAACTACCTGCTAAACAGTGGTTGGAAACAAGCTGGGCTGTCAGTCCAAGCAGGCTTACTAGAGAGTGCTTTGCACTGAACTAGCAATAGCACTTCTTCAGCTTTTCATTGTAGATCTTCCATTAATTTAACCTGTTTAGAACAGGAGACCTGCCAAGACCTCAGGCTAAGTAGGTAAGGAAAATTTGCCTCTGTTGAGGTTCCTTTGGACAGACACTGGACATCATTTCCAGTCAAGCACAGCTTCCTCTCCAGAGGTTCAAAGCCAGTCATATGTTTGTTACCTTCCAACAGAACAATCAACAGTGAAAATATTGCTACATGGAATTTGATATTATCATACTGAAATATACAGTCTTTTAAAATACATTGTATTTAAAAAACACCCAGTATTTTAAGAGGAGCTCCTATTTCCAACATCAGCTAATGGAACAAAATATTTTCACTGTCACTGGGAGTCACAAAAAGCCACTATACCTCTCCACACACAGCTGTGTCCTGATGTGTGCAACAGGTAAGGAAGTTTTGCTATTGCTTTTCTGTTCCTACTCCATGATGAACAAAGAGTGTAGGGCTTCTTCAGTCAGCAACTGTGCCTGAATGGAAACCACTCTCCACTGCTGAAAGAGGGGAAAAAAGGGTCAGCTAGACAGCTCAGTAACACTAGAAACATGCTTCAGTGCAGTTTCCCATGGAGTTCAACAAACCACTGCCTTTAAGCTTTCGGCCTATTCTTTGCAATTGGTTAAGAGAGCTATTTAACGAGTGCAAATTTACAGTCCTCAGCCTTCCAATTCTGACAGAACTATCAACTCTTTGGAAATTCACTCAGATCCTTTCTGGGAAAACTTCTGCTACTTAAAATACTACACAAATGATGGACCACATAATTTCCAAATCTTTTACTTCAACTTTTACTGCAGCATAGATTGTAAAATCTATGTAAAAAACCCCCCATCTAGCCATTAGAAGTGTTATGACAGCAAGGAGAATTAGAAAACACAGAGAGAAACACAAGAAGACAGTGGGACCACTTTTTCAACTTTCTAATGTTAGACCTGTGAAAAAACCCCCACAACTCTGATTACTTCCTCACTTTTTATCGGTGCCAATACTTGGAAAAAAAATGGACACAAGGATTTCTCAGGGAAAACAGCATTCAGGTTCCATACAGATCATTTTTACTTCTAAGATTTAATCCAGAAGTCAACAACAGTGTTAGTTAATA